CATGGATACTTCCCACAGCACAGTCAGAAACAGAAATCATCCCAGAGACAGAAGTTAGGGTATGTCTACGCTTGTACCTTCTTTCAAGATAGGGGTGCAAATGAAGACATTTGAAATTGCAAATAAAGCCGCAATTTATCCCACTCTTCATTTGCATAGTCTCATTATGGTGCTATTTTGAAATAACAGATGCTGTTAAGACATGGTTATTTTGAGAGAAAACCCTTCTCTTGAAATAACCCTTATTCCTCATACAATGAGATTTACCAGTTATTTCGAGAGAAGGGTTTTCTCTCAAAATAACCATGTCTTAACAGCATCTGTTATTTCAAAATAGCACCATAATGAGACTACGGGATATTTAAATCCCAGCTTCATTTGCAATTTTGAATGTCTTCATTTGCATCCCTCTCTTGAAAGAGGGTGCAAGTGTAGACATACCCTTGTTGATAAAGAGATGGGAATGGAGAAGGGGATTAGACTTAATCTGGTGACAGCCAGTGTGCTAACGAGCAAGGAATTGTTCTCAAGTCCCAGTGTTTGTGAGGACTCTCAGCAACTGTTTGTGGAGCATGAAGGACGGGAAGAGATTCAGGGTAAGTTGCTGTGCAGGCAGTGGAAGGCAGTGTAGGCAGCAGTGATGTGGGCGGTAAGTTGCTGTATATTGCAGTGGGTTGGGGGAGAGGCAAGTGATATCTTGGGAAGTTGCTCTTGCAGTTGGGGGGGGGGCCTGCAGGGCAAGTAGAGGCTATATTTCTGTGAGTTGGCTAAACCCTGCCTGGGTCTGCAGTATGTTCAAACAGAATATTGATGTACACAGAGATATCAATAGAATCTTGTTGACGGATGGCGTCGAAGCTTTGCCAGATGTACTTATTTTTTTTCTCTTGGGCTTCGTCTATAGTGCAGGGTTTTTGCGCAAGAAGCCTTTTATGGAAGAATTCTTCTGCAAAAACTTCTTGCGCAAAAGCAAGTCCAGACCTCAAAGCATATCACAAAACCGATGTGCTCTTGCGCTAGAGAGCATCCACGCTTCATGGATAGTCTTGCGCAAGAAAGCTCTGATGGCCATTTGCAGAATGGCCATCAGAGCACCTATGCTTTTTTGGATAGGGGTTTCTTGTGCAAGAAACCCCAGTGGAGTGTTCACACTTGCCTTTTTGCACAAGAACTCTTGTGCAAAAGAAGTTATTCCTCGTGGGAAGAGGAATAAGTGTACTGCCAAAAGCCTCCTCTTCTGCCGATTTACTTGCGCAAAAGTGCTCTTGAGGTGTGGATGCTCTTCCGGTTTTTGCTGCCATTTCCCCGCTGCCATGGTACAAGTCTGTCAAAACTGTTCATCAAACTGTGCTGCTGGAACCAAGGCAGCACAGAGTTTGGCTGAGTAAGGAGTGAGACACATCCCCACTCACATCAAGAAGCAGAGCCTAGGGTTGCCTGTTTAATTTCTAGCAGGGATATGATAGCCAGAATGATGGCAGCCTTTGGACAAGTGTAGGATTACTACAAATTGTTTCCATATACACCTGTTGCACAAGCAAGGGCTGTACTCATGGGGATCACCCCCTTTTCCTCCCTCCTTTAAAACTCACCATGATCAGAGAGTTTGGAGAGAGATGTGTTTGCCTCTAGGGTAACAAGAAAAGTGGCAAGTTTTGTTCAGAGATGAGCATTTTAGTGAAATGTTACCATCTTTATGATGAAAAGTGCAGTCAGTTCATTGTTAATGGTTACTAGACCAGACCTTGATAAGTCAGGCATGTTCACCTGCAGACAGACTCTGTTAACTAAGGAAAAAACCTCAGAGGACAAAGGAAAAACTGGTAAAGGATTTGTTGTGGTATTGAACAAGTCAGAGAATAGGCAGCAAAGAACCACTAACGAGATGCAAGTCAGAACACAAACCACTGAGCACATGCTAAATAAAGCTCATAGAAAACCAATATGAGTTGCAGAAATACCTTACCAAGATACTGAACAAACAGAATCAAAGGCCTCGCTGTCAGCACATGCAAAATTCTTTATCCAGCAACTCTCCGTCTACGCTCTTTTAAAAGTAAAATTCTTGCACAGCGATTTGTGAAAATCTGCAGCAAATCAGGGCATAGATAACAGTACATTTCTTTTTTACTGAATAGGGTCTTCCAGGAGAATCTGCATTTTACAGTAGACGTCATTCTGTACTGGGCCTTATTAAAAACTAAATACTACAGAAAATTGAGTGTCAAGACAAGTAACTGCAAAAGGAGTGACAGATTTTTTTGTTTGCCTAATGGCTATATGTGAAAATGTGGATTCCAAACCTGTGCATTTCTACTTTCAAGCTTCAGAAATCTCTGACATGTTTCCAGTTCTTCAGGGGTAGTTTTTTTGCTTGTTTTGTAGTGTATCTAATGTTTGTCTTGACTACAGTTTCCTGTGCGTTCTTTCTCTGCCAGCTACTGGAATAGCCAGTCGCTATAGCCATTTGGGAGATATTGTTGGCTTTTTGCACTCAAATTGAGATTTGCATCTTTATTTTTATTAAAATTGTCAATGTCAAGCAATTGGAAAGGGAGTGAGAGTTGCTGATTTGGTGCCCATCCTGCATAGGAATGTGAACTACTTGTCAAGTATCCAATATACAAATGCTTATCGAATAGTTGTCACGCTAGTCTATCAGAAAGAGGCAACAAGGGGGCAGGGAAGAGGAGGGGATGCTTCAAAGTGGGGCTTTGAAGTGAGGACTCCCCTGCTGACTCTGTGCTCCATGCAGCACTGATGCTTTGAAATGCCGCAGGGAACACGGGGCCAGTGGAAGATTGCTTGAGTACTCTGCTGGCCCCATGCTCTCCACAGCACTTTCGCCTTTGAAGTGTAGTCGATACGGGCTATTGCTAATCAAATAATTGATGCAAATTGCATCAACTATTCAATTAGCCAATTAATCAAAATTTTACGTCCTATGTCCTGCACTACTTACTAGGAATGAGGGGCTTATGGATCAGGCCATCTTTCAGAATTTGCTATGAGCTAACCAATATAAATGTGTCTAGATACAATGAAATCTTATTCTAGTCTCTGGATTATCTATATCATGCTGTACTTTGAGGTGTTTTTTAGAGTTAATTTTTCGGCAAATTATGGTACTTTTTTAGAAGTAGAAATAAAAACCCATATGAAATTTTCCTTGAATCCTATCAAAATCTGTCACCTTCAGAGCTCCATTTTCTTCTGGAGGATAATTTCTTATTGTCCTCTTTGCTAACAATTTTTACCACTTGAAATTTTTTCAATATCCAGTGTTTTTAGCATGTGTTATAAAAATGTGGTGTTAAATTTTTGCTGTAATGTGATTTTTATCCCTTTTAACAGAAAACTTTAGTGTTTGTTGTTTGTATGGCTAGTTAGTCTTTACAGTTCCTACCAAAATGGAGCCCATCAGAATTAAGGCTTTTAGATGCTGTTACAGTAGAGGCATTTGGGGTGGAGGGCTGGAATTGTAAGTGAAGAGTGGCTGGTCTGCTTTATTTACAAAACATTTCTTCTGATACTCACTAGATAACGCACTGAAAGTTGATAAGTGATCTCTGCCTGTAAGATTAATTTGTTTCTCATTGCCCTTTATTCTAGTCGCAAAGGATGTAAGCAAAGTCAGTTCATTGTAAAGGTATTTTAACATCTGGAATGCGTTCAAGATACTGAGTCTTAAGACATCTGTTCAGTTGCTAAGAAACTCATATATCTTAGTTTGAAACCTTCATTGTTAAAAGCAATTTAAATCCTTGAATAATTTTATCAGTTGGAGATAAAATTAAGGCTGTTGACAGTAACATCTTCATAGTTGGTATAATAATGTAACATTAACAAGATTTGGGATATTTGTTTTCTTAAGCTTTACAGAATGTTCATGTGTTTTAGCTCTTAATGTAAGCAAGTGAAAATTCTGAAGATAAATCCTTCATTAACTTAACCAGCCTTGTTCTTTCTTATATATACAGGCAATTCAATTGTTTTTCCTCTCATAGAATATTTAGTAGCATACCATATATAGGTATATATGCTATATTTCATGTCAAAGGTTGCAAAGGAATTGTGTTACATTGCTGTCGAGAGTCGTTTGAGTAACCTAAGTAAAAAAGTTTAATAAGCTTTGAAATCACCATGAAAATTGAGAGCTCCATATAAATAAGTAGTAGTATTATTAGACAAGACAAATGGCCAACCCCTCTCAACTTTGAAGACAGTGGGAATTTCTAGTGTTTAACACCTCTCAGAAAATGGTCCAGAGTTAACATGCTTGTTTTGTTGTTTTAACTGGTAGCTTTCTTCACTGACCTTTTTATTGTCTTACCTTGCAATACAGGACATCCCCACTATAAGTCACCCCAGTATACATCGGTTCTGCATTAGCATTGTTGACGCTTGTAGGAACTAATATGTTATAAATCCTCCCATTCCCCGCTCTTACGTCGCACCAAAAAAAAAAAAATCCGTACAAATGGAAGTCAGCCATGGGGGAAAAAAATTCTCCATTTTACGTCATTTTGCTGTATGTTCCAAAAAACATGGATGTATCTTGCATGTATAGCGGGGACACCCTGTATTTGTAGCTAATATTCTTACAGGGACAGACTTTAATGACTTTTCATAACTTAATGACACTGTAAATGTATACTGTGCAAAATCTTGATACTTTATCATCTCTCAATCTTGCCATTGTTTGAAAGAGTCTTCATAATGAATTCAAGTGGTTTTTACAGTCAATCGTTTAGTTAAGATGAAAGCTGATATTAAAAGGAGCTAGAGGAAAGCAAGAAGTAAGCTTTCTATCATGGAAGTTCAAGCTCCCTAATGCAGACAGCTTTATTTTTAAGATCTGGAGAGCCATCCCGATGGTAGTAAGTGGTTAATAACCAAATGCAATAATTATAGCTAATTCAAGGGAAATATTTATACTTTATAAATAAACATTTTAGCACATCCTCGGTAATTGCTGTGTTTTTCTTTTTTTCTTTTAGGCCATGAATATAGTGGTTCCCTTCATGTTTAAATATGCAGTAGACAACCTCAACCAGATGTCTGGAAACATGCTGAACCTGAGTGATGCACCAAATACAGTTGCAACCATGGCAACAGCTGTTCTGATTGGCTGTAAGTGTGATTCCTTAATCTGTTGACAGGTGTTGACTTTCTGCAGTAAGGTTTTGGAATATTAGAGCTCATGACCTTTTTTCTGTTAGCACTGGAGATGGTTATTCTAATATCTTCTCCTACTTCTGTTGCTATTGAGCCTTCGGTGGCCTTAGTTCTGCTACCCTGATTCTGAAAAAAAGGGTGCTTACAAAAATTATTTCTAACAATGAATCCTCCTTTAATAAGTTGACCAATACATTTATACCTAGATAGTCACAAACAAAAGCCAAATTAAAAATGAATAAAACAAAAACAATGAAATCTTGGAGCAATAAATGCTGCAAATACCCTGTTTATAGGGAAGGAACAACATCTTACTTCTGTCATATTTATTTACGAAGGCTCTTTTGGAGTTGAGTAAAGTAAATTAATTAATTGATATTTTTTTCTTGTATTGTCTTTCTTTAGATGGTCTGTCAAGAGCTGGGGCTGCATTATTTAATGAAGCTAGAAATGCAGTATTTGGGAAAGTAGCCCAAAATTCCATCAGAAGGATAGCAAAGAATGTATTTCTTCATCTGCATAACCTGGATTTGGGTTTCCATCTGAATAGGCAAACAGGAGCTCTGTCAAAAGCTATTGACAGAGGAACAAGGGGCATCAGCTTTGTGCTGAGTGCTTTAGTATTTAATCTGGGACCCACCGTGTTTGAAATGGCACTTGTGAGTGGAATTCTGGTAAGTGATACTTACTCAGGCATTCTGTAAATTGAAGGATCATGTCTCACTTTTTGGGAATAACATCATCTAACATTTAAGATTTTTGCAACAAAACTTACGTACTAAACATAGCGTTTGCAAGATAGTGATACAGAAAGCTTCAAAGAGACCATACTACAGTATCAGTTTTAAACTTAGTTATTTTAAACTTGTTTGGTTTTAAGCTAACTTTAGGTATAATACATGCCTCTGAATACCCTTCTAATGTGCTGTTTTTCCTGCCATATTTATATGGTATTTTAAATGCTTTCTCTCTCTCTCAAGTGTTGTATGGAAAAAATTGCAAAGTCAAAAGAGCAAAATGACTATACATAAAATAGTGTCAAACATGTAAAGTTAATCAACTAGAAAAAAACTAATGTTTTTAATTTAATTTTTAGATCCTTCAGTAGTATTTTTTTTGTTTCTATTATCCCTTGTCTTGGATTTTTACATTACTATTTGATTCTACACCTTACAAACATTTTCATTTAAGTGGTTTGATTAAATGTTGCAGTCTAGAAAGATGTGAATTTTTGTCTTGGTATCATTTGTTTATCACTCTGCCAGAGACACCTGCCTTGATACCCCATTCATCTGCTTCTCATGCAGAGTTTTAGAGCCTTTCTCTCACATTGTCTCCAAAATCTATACATACTATGAGTGGGTTACAGTGGAAAATCCTTCCAAGGTTCATCTTCAAGGGCTTTACTCTGAAATTCAAAGACTCGCCTTTTTTTGCAAAGATTTAATTATTTTGTTCTATGAAGACACAAAGTTTTAAAAGACTTTTCTTACCATTTTGCGACCTAGCCCTTGCTGAGTTGTTTCATCTTATTGATGTTACCTCTGTCCTACCTTTGCCAACACCCTTCCTTTTACTCTGGTTAGATCAAGGCTGATACTAGTTTATAAGCTTTTCAGGGGAAGAGACATGTCTTTCAACTTGTTTTGGGAGAGATCTACCTAAATTTGATATGATTCTTTTGAAATAATATTGGTATACTAAGTCATACTGACAATTAGCACTTTTCCCCTCCAGTATTATAAATGTGGTGCACAGTTTGCATTTGTATCCCTGGGGACACTTGGCGCGTATACAGCATTCACGGTAGGAGTTACACAATGGAGGTAAGGCACTCCTTAAAACAGGTAAGGATTTAAAGATTATTCCTCTCACTGTAACCAATACTCTCCAACTTTTTAAACTTCTATTTTACAGGACTAAATTTAGAATAGAAATGAACAAAGCAGATAATGATGCAGGGAATGCTGCAATTGACTCGCTACTAAATTATGAAACTGTGAAGGTAAGATATTAAATCTCTTTACTATCTTTAACACTATGATAGAAGATATAATTATATTCAAAGTGAGTTCAAGGGTGTTCAGTTGGAGAAGGCAACTTTTAGTATCAACCCCATTCTCTATCCTCCACTTTTTGGAATGCCAGCTCCATTTCCTGGTATTTGCAGTTAAAACAATATCTAGCTTGTGAATAATGGAGTCTGGTGAATAACTTATTCCAGCTGTTCTCCAGTTTTTCCTGTCTGTGTAGCACTTTTGTAGAAGAGAGATCCTCAGATGGTTTATGATCTTCAAAATGTGTTGCCATGAAGGGACATGAAGACCTTTGGTAATCCATGGACCACAGACTGAGATTTACTGATTTATATCAGTACAGATGCCCAAGCTAATTTCTAAAGTGATGTTCAAGAAATGATTCTTCAGATATTTGTAGAAGCTGAAGGTTGACGGAGAAGGCGCGTTGTTTTTTGTGTTCCCTTCCAGCCAAGGTGAAGGGAAGCTGTATGGCCACACAATCAGACCAACTCTATATTGTAAAAACTTAGTTCTCTTAAAATGTATAATCGTCTGAACTAGGTAGTGTAAAACTGCATGCAGGGATTGACACATCCATTCTTCAGTGAGAGGTGGGAAGCTTTTCTTAGTGAGTGCTTAAATCTAAAATGACAATTTCTGCAAAATATAAGCATTCATTTAAAAACAAAACAGCCTCTCTATCCTTTATGGTTAAAGAAAACCTCTTCTGAATATAAACAATTTTGATGGTGTCTTTCTGAGCCAGCAGAAGAACAGCTCCAGTGTATGTCTCTGATCCTACACTGCATCCCAGCCACAGTATCTGTATAAAAAACGAGAGAATAACAACAGTGAAAAAATGGTCCAGCATTTGATTTCTGTGGGCAACCTTGAAACTGCCAAAGTTATATCTGTTTCATGCTTCTACTGCTTGGGAAGACATAAGTCAAAAGAGACAAATAGTGAAGTTACCTATGGAGAAGGACCCATAAATAGAGATTGGATGAGAAGTAACATCATGGGTAGGGCTTGACAAACAGCAGCAAAAACCGCTTGCCAGCCCCATACTGTGCATGCGCAAGAACCACAGGAGAGTAGATTGTTATTCTTGGATCTAACTTGGAGGATTCATCTTGTGTGTTGGTTAACCATCTTTTCTGTCTGCGATGATGGCAACATCCTCATGATCAGAGCTCGAAAAATTATACAATCTGGTAAATATACCAGTTGGGCTCTGGTCATCTAAGCAGGTCATGGCCCTGTTCTGCCTGGCTGGGCTGCTGTATCCTCGTCTTTTGAACCTGTCTTTGGGTATTAGGCTTAATCACCCACTGAGTAGATGGATCCAGTATACTTTTGAAGCCTTGATTCATGTCTGTGTGTAGTATGTTACAATGTGTTTAGCTAAAGTACTTTGAATCTAGCACATTTTAAAGAATGACACTCTTTTCTACCTTTGTCTATCTTGTAGTATTTCAATAATGAAAAATATGAAGCACAGCGATATGATGGATTTTTGAAGACGTATGAAAATGCATCACTGAAGACTACTGCTACCTTAGCTATGCTGAACTTTGGGCAAAGTGCTATATTCAGTGTTGGCTTAACAGCTATTATGGTGCTTGCTAGTCAGGGAATTATTGCAGGTAATTGATCTGCCTCTAAGTAAAACACAAGTTCCTCTTTGCATTAATAATAGAACTGGATTAAGGTATTTTAGGAAGGTCTGGTCTACAATACGAGTGAAGGCTGAGATATTCAGCATTAAGTCAAATTTGTAATGAGTGTGTCTATGCTATCCAATCCTTCTCATTGACCTAACAGGCTTTTAAAATTGACCCCTGCATTCCACCTGAATGAGTGGAGTAAAGCCTGAAGTGACATTCATGCCATGAAATACGGTCAGTGTAAACGCTGTGTATTGTAATTCAGAGTTACTGTCCTCCAGAGTGCTATCATGTGAATATCTTGCCCTGCCCTGGCAAGCACTTTGAACTCCAGTGCTCTTCAACCAGATGAGCAGGAAAAGTTGTGGGAACTTTCAAGTGTTAATTTCCTGTTGGAGCAGCATGAAGAGCTCACCAGCACAACTGAGCATGCATGTCTAGAATCACAAATGCCACCAGCATGGAGGGTTCAGGAGATAGTGGATCTGATTGCCATCGGGGGAGGGATAAGTGTCTGTGCAGGCAGAGCTCCAAACCAGCAAAAGAAATGCTGATATCTATGCCAAAATCGCACAGAGCATGGTGGATAACGGCTACATGAGGGAGTCACAGTAATGCTGCGTGACAATAAAGAAGCTTAGACAGGCATACCACAATTCACGATGAAAGAAAAGACAGGACTATGTAGCACTTTAAAGACTAACAAGATGGTTTATTAGGTGATGAGCTTTTGTGGGCCAGACCCACTTCCTCAGATCAAATTCAAGACTGATTCTGAGCCGCAGACACGGGAGGCTGACAAACACCCATAACCATCCACAACAATGTTTTCATTCCATGAAGTATTGGAACCCTAGCACTGGATAGCAACCCACAGAGCATCACTCCTTGGGTGAATGCAACCCTGACAGTGAAGATGTGCTCTGTTGACCACAGCCCCCTAGTGAGGATCTGCAAAATTGCATTTGTCAAATTGGATGCTTAGAGTTGAAGTAAATAAAATCGACCTAATTTTCTACTGTAAACGTGCCCAAAGACTGATATTACTGCTGATACTGTAATTTTAAATTCTTGTTGTTTGGGGGGAGGGGTGAATATTTGGTTCTAATTCCTTGGTAAAGTTGTCTTTTAGTATTTCTTGTTTTTCAAGTAGCTCGGTTGGAATGCTAGCTGTCCTAGCTAGTAGTAACACAAACTTACAAAACATAAAACTTGGGTATAGGATTGCATAAAAAACCCAGAATCTCTAAGAAAGATAGCACATTCATGAGCTACTTTACTAAATAGCTAAGGATTTTTTGTAATAACAAATGGAGATTTTCTGCATAAGTTAATTCACCATAAAATTTTCCCGACAACTGTAAAATATTTTATTTCAATTTAAACTGTTGGTACGGTTTATTAAAATACAATAAAACAAACATTTTTCGGTATGCTCAAATGGAAGGTTCACCCCACCATTACCAGAGAATTAACATTTAAATTAATGGACATAATTTTCAATGAAGTGCGATTTTGATAGTCAGATGGATAGCTTCTGTTGTAACATAATAGAACAGGGTACTCATACAGTTAATACTCTAGAGGACTGGGATTTTAAAATATAAGCATTCAGCAATTTTTTAACTTTAGAAATATCAGAGATGCCAGTCATTATTCATCTCCTAAAGTCAGAGAATTTGCAAATGTAATATATGGTCTCCATTAAGAGAAGATCCAGTTTCTTCTAAAGCATAGGTTTCACCCTCACAAACCTACACAACAGAATAAAAATACAGTGGTAGTAGATGAGAAGGAAAATGCCTACCTACTATCCCCGCAATAAAACAAATGCTAGATATCCGCCATATCCAACAAAATAATTAAAGTGGGATAAACAGAATTTTTGAAAAGTGTCATGACCGACGTCAAAACCAACAAAAATATGATTACAGTATTACAAAAATATGATTATTACATTTATTAGCATATGGCTTTTTACTGGGGTTTTGTTACTGAAGATATTTTTATAAGGGAAAAATCTTTCCTGTTAGGTTACCTTGTCCATCCCCTACCTATGCAAGATTGTTTTCCTGTGCTGCCTACTGTACTCAAGTACTTTGTCTTTTCTATTTTAAAATGATTCTAGTGAAGAGTCACCATTAGTCTCAGAAGACTATTCCCCAATCTAATAGACCCCAATAAAAAAAATTTTGTACATATTTTTTTTTTTTTTTTTTTTACAGATTTTCATCTGTCAGTTCTGTTAATCACATTAAACAATGCCTCTTCTACCTCGGATAGGATGGAATAACCATTAAATACTTGTAGACTAACATGGCAGCAGAATAACTCCATTTGGTCATCATTTTAATTGAGTGGAACTAAAATATCTCAGGCATAACAAAGCACCAGAATGATGCCCTAAAGGAGTAAGCAAAGATTTCTCTTGACATGGGAATCTGTGGGTGACAAATGTTGGCATAATTTTGTCTGTGTGCCTGCTGCCCTGCCCACATATAAGGAATAGACGAGAGGAAAGGAGGCAGTGTACATGAAGTACTCAGTGTTGTGACAGATCCTTGGCTGGTGCAATATCTGACTATTGTAGCCAGTGTAACCTATGCCAGCCCCCAGCTGGCCCATAAACAGAGGATAGAGCAGTGGCCTGGAGCCCTTCCATGCCTGTTCTCTTTGGCTGAGAGTAAATTGAGGACATCTGAGGATTGACCGCCTGTCTGTCTCTTTGGCTGTTCTTTGCATACCTTCCTGTTCTATGTATTTGGTGTTCTGAGTTGCTCATAGCATCACTTAACATCCTGGGAGTGATCTTACCAGAACTACATAGAAAATTAACATTCCCTCTCTGGTCCATGAAATTATGCCCCTGGGTCTACGGTCCATTAGTTGAATCTTAATTATATTTCTAAAGTCTTTTAGAACCCATTGCAAAGAGAGGAACAGTGGAGTTGGTAACATCTCCCGACCTAGAATTTTCTATTTTATTACTATACAATCTGTCTCTTAATGAAATTCACTTTAGTAATGCCTTGGCACGTCACTGGACAAATGCTCCTCCTCCAAGAATAACTTTTCTTTCAAGACGTTAAACAGTTCTGTCCTATTGTAAAAGTAGTATAGCACAAACTATGCTGGATTTCACACTAACAGGCCTAAAATATTTGTGCCATCCTGGTAAAATATTTAATATGAATACTGTCTCTCCCCTATCTTTATTTTAAGGGAACTTGACAGTTGGGGATCTGGTAATGGTGAATGGACTGCTGTTCCAGCTTTCTCTACCACTTAACTTCCTGGGAACAGTATACAGAGAGACTAGGCAAGCTCTCATAGATATGAACACCTTGTTTACACTGCTCAGTGTAGACACAAGAATTAAAGTAAGTAATAACTACCTCTTTTTAAAAAAAGTTACTTCAGCATTATTAGGGTTATTTTTGTGATAGTTCTTGTTTCGTCTTCTGTTACTTTTCGGGCCTAATTTCTATTCTACAAGGAGACACTCTATAAGGAAGCGCTGTTTGTTGTGGGTGTTAAGTGCAGTTAGTAGGGTTGCCAGATGGTTGAAACAAAAATACCAAACACCTCTTCTCACCCCTTCCCCCCCTCCAAAATCCCAGTGGAAAAAATTCTGTTGAGGGGGGAAAAAAAGGGGGGGACCAAAATTGTTGAGCGCAAAAAAAAAAAGGACTCCTAGACTTAAGGGAAAAAAAAAACCAGCATGGCCCCTTTCAGAGTGAGTGCAGAGCCAGAACAGGGATAGGAACAGGGGAGTAGTTGAGCACTAAAACCCAGGGAAGGCATTTCTTCCTCTTGGTCTTTAGGCTTTGTGCCAACGACCATTTTGTGTTCTTGTTCAAGCCAGAACTTACCTTCCCCGCAGAACCAAGTAAGCATGGGGGCTTTCTATTCTACAAGGAGACACTCTATAGGGTTGCCAGGTATCTGGTCATTTTGCCTCCTAGCCGGGAAAAAAATTTTTTTTTTTACCAGACAGGAGGCAAAAATACCAGACTGTCTGGGTCAATACCAGACACAATAGAACCCTAGCAGTTAGTGGACTAGCTTTTGCTTTTAACTTGCAAAGCCTTTTAGTGAGAGAGAATGTTATTTCACAAAGAAGCTATATTGGTATTGAGGGTTTTTTATAGTGTTTGCACCATGCTCTTAAGCTTTGGTTTTGTTTTTTGGCTGTTGCTGTAATTAATGATGCAGAATTTATTACACAAAAAAGCTACCTAGAAGCTGAATGACCAGAAGGGATGTTTTTGACCTTCAGGAGAGGAGAGGGATAAAACAGTCTTCACATGTATGGCTCAAATAGATCATTTTTAACTTGCTGAAGCATCTGCCTTTCACTTTTTAAATTAAAAAGTTGACTGTTAAGCTTGTCGAACTGTTTGAAATATATTCTGGGCAGTGTGTAAAGTGGAACTCTTTTTTTAATAGGACAAAGAGCTGGCTCCACCGCTGCACATCACACCACAGACTGCTACCATCGCCTTTGATAACGTGTATTTTGAATACCTTGAGGGGCAGAAAGTCCTTACTGGAGTGTCTTTTGAAGTCCCTGCAGGAAAGAAAGTGGCCATTGTAGGAGGTAGTGGGTCAGGGTGGGTAAATGGACTATACCAAATTCTGCATCATTGATTGGCGTTTGGAAATGTGATTTTATTCTGCTTTGGAAATATTTTTTTCTGACATGCTTTTATAATGAATGAGAGTTACAAATGTTAAACTAAAATTTAACCTTCATTTCTACCCCTTTCTCAATTTTAGAAAAAGCACAATAGTAAGATTACTATTCCGCTTCTATGAACCCCAGAAAGGAAACATTTATGTTGCTGGTCAGAATATACAAGATATCAGCCTGGAAAGCCTGAGGAAGGCTATAGGAGTTGTGCCTCAGGTATAGTGTTTTATAATATCCCATAAGTTATCCTTGAGAGCGTAACTTTTGATATTCAGAAGCTCTGGTTCAAATGGAAGACAAACTCACCATATTGGTGTAGTCAGATTTAATTTGAAAATCTCTGTTTTAGGATTTCAGGAAATCTTGTAACTTTGTATTTGAAACATCAAGGAGATGTTACTAATGGAACTGAAGAGGTTTCTTGCATGGTGTTTTACATAGTCATTAGCACTTGTTGCGAGATGGTAAAACTAGAATGTGTATTATATTTTGAGTGAAATAATTAAGATCTTTAAATCTTATATCTATTCAAAATATTGAAACATCTAATTACATTTTCCCAGAAACATTTTTCCCTTAAAGGTTCAGGGGAAGAGTATACACTTATCTGTATTGATTTTTTTCAACTTGCACCTATGAAATATCAATCCTGTTTTCATATTTAGAGTATTCTGTACAATTGTAGGACGCTGTTCTTTTCCATAACACCATCTACTACAACCTCTTATATGGCAATATCGGTGCATCGGCAGAAGAGGTGTATGCAGTAGCAAAATTGGCAGGAATCCATGATGCTATTATTCGAATGCCCAATGGGTACAACACACAAGTTGGTGAACGAGGACTCAAGCTCTCAGGTAAATCCGTAAATATGTACATTCTTTTCACCCTTTTTGCTTGCTCCAAACTCTGTACACACTTCCCACACATCATCCTGAGATGTAATTAATTTGAAGATCTTAGCTGACATGTAATAAATATAGAGTTTAAATATTAATACTAGTGGCTCAAAGTCTCTGTATTCTAGAAGGCATTTAAAGGAATCTATTTTCAGGGGACATTAATGTCAGAACTACATATCCTTTTCTCCTTCTAGTGTGATGTGTTGGGTTAGTAGAAGAATATATATGGGTAGAATTTGAATGTTTGATGTGGTTGTTTTGATGGTGTCTGTTGCTGCTTATGTTATATTGAAGGCTTAAACAAGTGTGTGTGGACTTTCCAAGTATGGGTTGTTTTTAAGTATAAATGTACAGCTACTAACACCACTTTTTTAAGTGAATAATATTATGAGGCATGTTGGTACAGCATACTGGAAATTGATCCTTTTAATAATAAAAGGGATTTTATAATTTTATGGTAACTTGCAGTTTTGAATTTGGTATAAATTAATACATATGCATTGCATTTGATTACTTAATATTACTGGCTATGTAACACGCTTAAAATAAAACCTAGGAAACAAGGAAATAAAAAGTTAATGTATATTGTGCTGCTCCACCCAGAGACATACACCTCACCCAGCAGCACAACCACCATATGCTACAGAGAATGTACCACAGCTTCAGCTCAGTAGGGATGCCAGTATTTCAGCATCACCTTTTGAAATTCTACCTACCCATCTCCATACCACAGACAGACCTGCCTTTCTTCTCTCGTCCCACCATTGCCCCGTCTGTACAGTTCAGTAAGATTACACATCTGCGTGTCATAGGAAAGTAGGGATGGAAGATTGGCATCCTTACTGGACAGAGTTACGTGGGTGATAGTGAAGGATGGAGGAGTGATTGTTTAGCAGTTAAGAAATGTCTGGATGACTTACCATGTTCATTTGTAGGACTTTTGGGGTGGCTAGATGGGGTGATATAGAATTTTGTGTGTTTTATTGGTGTATGCGTACATGAGTACATGGTTTTTCATTGAATGTTTCAACCTTAACTATCTTCTAAACCTAAAAGTTTTATTTGGAAATAAGCTGTGAGATTTGTGCTCAAGACATTGTCTACGTTATTAGCCTGTGAATTGTATAAATAAATGCTGAATAATTTAAAGCTATAATCAACGTTTATCTTATGGGATGAAACGGTTGTAACAAAAGTAAATGAAGCAATGTTGTACATTCTGCCAACCAACTCTGTAAGAGAAGGTCACCATTATGGGATCACTGCATACATTTTTAAACACAGGCTCTAGAAAACAATAATATTCTGCATACTGGATATTTCTTGAGAGAAGTAAAAGTAGCATCTTGTACAAATAGCGCAACTTCTGTTTGTTGCTCTTCTTAACCATATTCTAATATACATGGATGACACATTAAGTAAGGGTTGCATCAACACAAGACAGTAGGGGGTGGTGGTGTTAGATATTGTATATGCAAGAACTTAAGGCTGCTGTAGTTAACTCGAGACTCATATTTACATTACCATAATGGATTTTAGGAAGCACCTGAATAAAGCCAGATAGTGGAAAGCTAGTCGGAGTGAATCATGAGAGAGATTGGTGGTAGCATATAATGTTGCAAGTTTCACATGATGATGGAGGCTATTTCATCATATGATGATGGAGCTGAAGAGTGTATAGTCCTGAGTTGGAAGCAGCAAGCATGAAACCAAATCCAGTACCCTACACACTGGAAAGAGAAGATTGAGGTTTTATTCTTGGCTCTGCTACTGATCTGTCTGATCTTGCACTGGTCACTTTGCCTCTTCTCACCTGTTTCTGCATCTGCAAAATGGGAATAATGATTCTTAGCATCTTTTGTTATGCACATTAAGATCTGTACATGAAATAAAAAGTGCCATAGAAGAGCTAGCTATTGCTTTAAAATTCTGCTGGGTATTCTTTTTAAACACTTGAACACTTTGTTACTCCCACTGAATTGTATTTGGAAGGCTACTTTCTATCTCCTTTATGCATTGATTTTAAAATTGAAATCAGTCTTACATTTAACTAATAATTCTGGTGTCATTGTTCAGAAAATTGCTGTTAGTGGCAGCAAAAAGTCTAGTAATGCTAGTTGCCATTTCACCCTCAAATGGATGTTAGTCCCATGTGTAAATTATCAGGTAAGGTCCAAGGTTCTGATGAGGAGAATGAGTGGAAGTTTCTTGGAATGTGGCTGTAATCCCTCTCTTTATATAAAATCTTTGTATGGCAAAGATGAATGAAGGGCTTCAGCTGCATCCTGTTAGCAGGTCTCTTTCTTTATCACAGATGTTAGAATATCTGATCAGGTCAAAATAACCTTGTTTTTTCTTCTCTGTTGTTCAGGAGGGGAAAAGCAAAGAGTTGCTATTGCTAGAGCCATCTTAAAGAATCCTCCTATTATTCTCTACGATGAAGCCACGTCGTCTTTAGACTCAATTACAGAAGAGGTAAATTAGGATAAAGCATCTAAAGTCTTTTCAGCTGCATTGTGTCCAACTTTGCTGGCCCTCCTCAGAGGTGGAGCCAATCTGGGGCTCCAAAAGACCCATATCTGGCTCCCTAGGGGGCCATATTTGGCTTGCGAGCCATAGGTTGCTGACCCCTGTTCTAGAGAGTAAAGGAGGTTTTCTTCAAAAGCCAGGAGTTGAGAAACACTCTGGGTGTGTCTATACTGATAAGGAAAAAAAAACGTGGCACTGCTCTCAAAGCCCCGGTTTGCTGCCTCGGCCTTGGGCTTTGGCTCAGGCTCACCGGGCTATAAATTTGCAGTGTAAAGATATGGCCTGGGGCTGGAGCCTGGTCTCTGAGACCCACCCGCATTGCATCGTCTGAGAGCCTGGGCTCCATCCCAAGCCCAGAATTTTTCAGTTTTATAGCCCTATGAGCCTGAGCCCTGCAGAGCTTGTGTTTACCTAGCCATTCATAGACATGCCACAGGTCTTATTGCTAGAGCCTTACATGGCTACAAAATTTGTATCCACATTTGCAAAAATGACCTGCAGGTATCTGCATCTGTGGATGGGGATACCAGATGTTCACAAATTTGCAGGGTTCAAGATACAAAATTTGTATCCACATCTGTATCTGCCAAAATGATCCCTGGATACCTGTGAATACAAAGCCGATATCTACAGATTTGCAGGGCTCTCTTTATTGTAGCATAGATTTTACCTTGAGATTCTCAATGAAGATTGATCCAGAGCCAAGAATATTCTGTTTATAGTGTCCAGTTGCAGCAGTAAGCCTCCATCATTTGAAAGTATTTCTGTTGCTAATGTACTCATAGTGTATGAAGACTACCATCCATTTTTAAATGGAGGAATTTGGGTGCTATTTAACATTCATTACAATATAGGTAATTTAAATTATTGTGACAATGCAAAATAGAAAACCTTTCACTCATTGTGGAGCATAGCACCGAGATGCAAGCCAGGTATGCATTACCTGCCCTGCTGGTATTAATTTATATTCATTTCCTAGGAAGGGCTGTGAAACATCAGGATGTTGTGACACAGATGCCATGACACTACCACAGCAACTACATCAGACTTAATAACCACATCTTTGTGCTAAATACAAAAATCTCAGCAGTAACAGTAATTTCATGAACTAATCATGTTTTCTAGAACTGAAGCTAAAAACGCTATTTGCAAATTGTCCCCCCTTGTGTGGGTTATTTGGCATACGTTGACCTCTGATCACTAGATTCCGCTTATTTTACAGACATAGAGAATCATTTAATGTATGCTTTGCACATGCTTATGGTGTATAATATAATGATCCCTTCCATCTACTAGTGTTTTTATTATTTGTAACAAAGATTTCTGAAGACTACTACTTTTTTTCCCCTCTCTCATTTTGCTATATTTATTACAAGGTTGCCAAACAAAGCTGAATGTTTGCTCAACACAGCTGCACTTTAAGGCAGTGAATAAAAATGAGTTCTTTCCAGAAATGTATATCTTGTAATCATAAAGAAAAAATGCATATTCCAGCTTTGTAGCAGTAACTCAAGCTCTTTCAGGGTTTGTCTGTGATGTGGTAAAAACCCTATGGGACCCAGTCTCAGACCCCAAGTAGACCGACCCAAACTATCGGTGGCCATGGTGCAGGTCTTTTATTGCATTGTAGACATAGCCTTAAATCATACTTATATGCAACTCATGAAGGTGGAAAAGGAAACACAGGTTCTGACTTGATGCGGATGGCTGTAGATATAAAATATTTCTTTGGTTTTAGGGATATTTGTGTTCCTTGTTGACACAAGCCAGGGTTTACGTTTAAAATGTAGGTAGGTATATCTACTTTGGCCAGGGTGTGAAAAATCCACATGCCCTGATCAACATAGCTATGTTGACCTAATCCCTGCTTCCCCATCTAGATGCAGTTATGTAAATTAAGAATACTTCTGTTAACCTAGCTACCATTCTTTGGGGAAATGGTATTTCTACACCAGTGGAAAATCCCTTTCCCTCAGCATAGGCTGCATGTATATGACAGGCTCCTATAGCATAGCTTTACTGGCTCAATAGTGTAGACATACCCACAGTCTTGTCTGTTTTTTAATATTGATTTGGAGAGTAAAACACTATACCTGGACATGCTACTCCTATCAGCACTATTTTTTTGGACAGTCAAAATACGGAAGTTTTTTTTCTGCAGGTGAGCGAATACTTCCCTTCCTCTAGCCTCTTCAGATGTTTAAGTTTCACAGAGAAGTGTAACCTTTGTTGGCTTTCCTTCACATTGTGAAGCTGCACTTTGATAACTTTTACAGAGCCACTGAAGTCTTATTCTAGGCATTGTGTTGCTTCTTCCATAATTTAGTCCCAGCTATTTCTCAGTTTGGGGATTGGAAGACTTTCTTTAGCATTCATTAAAACTTTGTTCCACATGTTACATGGCTTGATTTTATTTCGTCGAAAGTGTATTATTTGTCTAGATAGATTAGAGATGCAAGAGGTTAAGTGGCTGATGCTTATTAGTTTGTTACCAGTTAAACTCTGCCCGAGGTTAAGTGGCTGATGCTTATTAGTTTGTTACCACAATTAAACTCTGCCCTCCTGAGGAGCCAGCTGCCCCACGCTCTGGACTCTGCAGGTGCATGCCAGCTCCTGGTGCACTCCAGCGCCTGCTGGCAGAGCCTATAGCATAGGGCAGCCAGCTCCCTGGGAGTGAGGCCAGTCTCTGGAAGCCAGTACATGCCAGGAGCCTACTAGCTCTACTGAAGAGCCTGTACCATGGAGCAGCTACCACCCCGGGAGTGGAGCTAGCAGAAACTGCAGTGTGAGGCAGTCAGCTCGCCAGGAGCTGCAGGGGCACGCGTCCACCATCCTTCCCTCCCTGGTCCCACTGGCTGTACATCCCCATGTAAAATGGTTAACTATATAACCATTCAAAAGTTTCCAAGAGGTAGCCAAGTTAGGGTACGTCTACACTGCATCCCTTAGTCCGAACTAACGCGTCCCGGCGCACACTTCCTGGTTCGAATCAGCTGTGATTTGAACTAGCGAGCCAGCAAGATCATGTTAATGAAGCATGGGATATTTAAATCCCCGCTTCATTAACTACTTTGGTCATCTCCATTTGCATCCCTAGTCCGAACTAGGGATGCAGTGTAGACGTACCCTCAGTCTGTCACTGGAAAAACTTTAAAACGATGAATAGTCTAGTAGCTCCTTAAAGATTAACAAAGCATGTAGATGATATCATGAGTTTTCATGGACAACACCCACTTCTTCAGAAGACTAGAGTATTAAAAGTCCAGATCCAAGAATAAATAAAGGAAGGGGGACGGGGGAAAGAGGAGGGAAAAAAGACAGTGAATAGATTGTTCAAGTAGTTACAAGAGGCTGATAAGAATAATTAGCACCTCCATTGGTTGGTTAAGTCATTAGGATGTGGTAGTATCCTAGGTAGTATGTGAGCCAGCCTATATCTCTGTTCATTCCAATCTGATAACTTCATTTAAAAGTTTAATTCTTAAGTTCCAACCCTTCCCTGTGTATTTGACTTGTGGAATTGGCCTGAAACAACACAGCAACTTGGAGATCCATTAATGAGTGTCTAGGCAGTTAGTGTTCTCCAACTGGTTTCTGTGTTGCCTTTTCGGATATCTGATTTGTGTCCATTAATTCTTTCCCGTAGTGACTGTCCAGTTTGGCCAGTATACATGGCAGTGGGGCATTGCTGGCATTTGATCGCATAAATCACTTAGTGGATGTGCTCTTAAATGAGCCCCTGATGTCTTGATGTCATTGGGTCCATTGTGAATTCGCTTGTGTGGATGTGTGGGCAGAGTTGGCACCAGGGCTGAATGCAGGGGTAGGTTCCTGGATGATTAGTTCCTGGATGATTATGATGGAGGTGTGCTGTAAGTGAGGATTGGCCTGTCCCCCAAGGCTGTGAGAGTGAGGGGTCATTTTCCAGGATAGGTTGTAGATTGTTGATAATGAGTTGGAGGGGTTTAAGTTGTGAGCTGTAGGTGATGACAAGTGGAATTCTGTTTTCTCTTTTTGGCCAGTCTTGAAGTAGCTTATGTCTGGCTACTCTTCTGGCTCTGTCGATCTGTTTTTTCACTTCTCCGGGCGGGTATTTTGGTTTTAAGAATGCTCTATATAGATCCTGTAAGTATTTTTCTGTCTGTGGGATTGGAGCAAATCCGGTTGTATTTTAGGGCTTGGCTGTATACATAGATTGAGAAATGTGTCTGGGATGGAAGCTAGAGGCATGAAAGTAAGTATAGGGGTTGGTAAGTTTCCTGTTTAGGATGGTGGAAATTTGTCCATCATTTAATTGTACTGTAGTGTCAAAGAAACGGATCTCTCATGTGGATTGATCCAGGCTGAGGTTGATGGTTGGATGGAAGTTGTTGAAATCCCTGTGAAACTCTTCAAGGGTCTCTTTCCCGTGGGTCCATATGTTGAAGATGTCCTCAATGTAGCATAAGTAGAGTGAGAATGCTAGGAGGCAAGAGCTGAGGAAATGTTATTCAACCATAAAGACATTGGCATATTGTGGGGCCATGCAGGTACCCATGGCTGTGCCCCTGACTTGAAGATACAGATTGTCCTCACCCACTACTTCCAATTTGGAGACAAAGTCGCAGAGCTCTGTAATCAGGTGTGCAGTGGTATTCTTGATAGCCTATAATCCATCTTCATGTGGAATGTTGGTGGTAAGAGCTTCTACATCCATGGTGCCAGGATGGTGTTTTCAGGAAGATTACTGATGTTTTGTAGTTTCTTCAGGAAGTCTGTGGTGTCTTGAAGATAGCTAGGGGTATGTCTACACTACAAAGTTAATTCAAACTAATGGACGTTAGTTCGAATTAACTTTGATAGGCGCTACACTAGTGCTCCGCTAGTTCGAACTTAATTCGAACTAGCGGAGCGCTTAGTTCGAACTAGGTAAACCTCATTCTACGAGGACTAAGCCTAGTTCGAACTTACTAGTTCGAATTAAGGGGTGTGTAGCCACTTAATTCAAACTAGTGGGAGGCTAGCCCTCCCCAGCTT